CCCCCAACGTCCCTCCCCGCCATTCGTCGGAATCCGACCAATGAGCGGCCACGCGTCCGTAGTAGTGCGGCGTCGCCTCTGCTCGGTTCGCGCACTCACAACTCGTTCGACCGTCGAGCTGAACGCTTCGAGAGAATCGCTGCGTACGAACGCGTTCAGTTTACGTGCGCGCCTTTTAAACCGCTACCACCGTTTCGCGAACGTCCTTTGTTTGCCGTATCGGGTCCCCCTATACACGTGTTTGCGTGCTACGTCTCCGTTTAACGGTGCTCTCCCGCGGGAACAAGAGCCATGCGATTTTCGTGGGTGTTCGTGGCCACGGTGCTGCTCGTTCTAGTCTCCGGAGCAAGGTGTAAGAGGAAATTCGACGGGGATTTCGAATTCGCCGAAGAGGTGAGTCTTTCTTCGTTCGTTTATTTATAAAACAGTTGTCTCTATGTTTTGTACGCAAGCGACATGTTCGTTCTTGCCGGTTGGCTAACACGTCATGTCGCGTTCACCAGTCAGCGGAACATTGACAGGTGCATTCATTTGAAATGACAAGTGTCGTGCTAGCTTTTGTTTCCGCGTAATAATTCTAAAGAGAGTAGTCAATAGTTCGTTCCTTTGCGCTGTGTTTGAATATCGTTTGCGCGATTCGCTTTGTTTGACGCGGTAAAAGGATTCGCATTGGAACGCGTCGATATATTGTTAAGAATTTATCGATAGAGCGCAGATCGTGCGCTTTTGTTGCTCCATTCACGGCGGTTATAATTTTTTCACGAGGTTAGTCGACTGTTTGAAAAGTTCGATCGGCGTTCGATTGTTAGTTCGGTGTTTTCAAGGATATTCAGGTAAAACGAGCCTCGAAGGTTGAGCATGTCGTAAAAATGTCGCAGGTTGAAATAATATTATACGTTATGTTGAACCTGCTCGAAGGCGATCTTTTACAAATACGTAAAACTTCTTTGTACACGAAGAGCTACAGTTTCTTTTCGTTATTTTATATTCATAATGGAACATAATTGGTACTGACCTTCTTTAAGAGCGATCATAAAATACACGATCATAGTCGGGTTCATTAGGTGGCACGCAATGTAGCCACTTTTACTTTCACGTAACTGGATCGGTTGTTCAAACGCAAGTTATCCGGCGCAATTGTTTATTTTCTGAGCAGTGATGCCGTGCTCGCTTTCTACGTGTTCGAACTTGCCTAGGTAAACATTGCGATCAGAAACAATTACGACGAATGTGCCCGTTTCATGCGTACGTGACATTAATGCCGCGTGTTGCTTGCATGTATGCAGTTACATGGCATTAGGTTTCCATGGTGCGCGCGCCATATGCCCTCTGACATAAACAAGGTAATCGAACTTCAATTATAAACATCTTTGTTCAGGGTGGTCATTCATACTGATCTTGTCAGTGTAGATTAAATTCTCGAGTAAAATTCTATTGATGTTATCGAATTTTGTGTGAAAGGAACAGTCAATTATTTTTAATTTTGGATAAATTATAGAAAAATAAAATAACGTTTGGCAATTGAGATTTTCGATTTAGAAATCATAATGGAGTTTTTCTGTTCGAGGAAGTAGAAACCCCTTGACCGTGTCTGGTTACTTATGTCCGTTTTCACTGCAACAAGCTACCCGTTAGTCCACTGTAATTAAAAGTTTTTATTTGCGCAAATAAGTAACGGTATGTTGCTAACGTGTAAAGGTGAAAAACTGTCAGGATACTTTGGCAAAATGGCGACGTAGTATTTGGTAATTTAAAAAATTTGAGAATTTGAAATTTTAATTTCGTATTTTAAGCCACTGAAAATTTTTGAATTAGCAATTTAAAAATGTTATATTTTGAAGAAAATTTTTTGCACCGGTAATTAATGCATTGCAGTCCATGTAAGTGACAGCAACCAGCACAAAGCTGACGTGACAAATTTGGGTTTTGCCAGAGATGTGCAAAATGTCCTGATAGCACAGAGCCCTGAGGGTTAAGGTCTGTGAATTAAAATTCCGTCGCTGTTGGTGTTATTTTCGTCGAATAAGGTCAAACAGGACTCGTATTTATGCAAACTTTATTTCTCGCTTTCACCTTTCGAGTTCACCCTTGAAGTTCCACCCACGTACTACGGTAAACGTACTATACAGAGAGTGTATCTTTATCGACGAAACCCACCTTAGGGATGAATACAGAAGTAGAAAAAAAAGGAGCACGCAAACGACCCGTTTCGCATCGTGCACTGCTCCGTACATACGTTTGTACCTGGTTGCTTTATCGAGTGCTCGAAGCGGGCGCGTTTCATTTTCGAGGCTCGCGGGGGTTTAATTAATTATCCCCGGTCGCAAAGATAATACAAAGAGCTCGGTACAGTTTGATAATTATACGTGTGTATATTGAATGTCGACACTGACAAATTTGACCCGGTTTTCTGGCCGGGAACACGCGTGGGCGACCTATCGATTCGAAACGCATTACTTCGACGATTTTCTATTACGAATCGGACTAGACTAACTGGTTCCGCTAAATACACTGACTTAAGATAATACGCGCGGATAAATTATGAATCGTAGATAATGAAAGGTGTCGCGTTAGACAAACGGCGCGACGTTTAGTAAGTGTTTTCCTTTTCAATAAATTTGTTTAGGTTGTTGCGTAAGCGAACGTTTCGCGTTGACTAATAATTTTGTATCGTTGATCTGACACGCGGTTTCATGAATGATTTAAGGATAATTCTCGTAACCTCCTTTTCGTTTTGGCGATTTTAGGTGCATGTAGATTGTAAAATTATTAGAGTTTAGGGATATTGCGGATTAGGGACTTTTGGATTTTGGGACATTCAGATTTAGAGATTTTGAAATTTCTGAATCTTGGGATTTGGGGATTTTGGGATTTAGGGACTTTGGGGTCTAGGGGCTTTGCAGTTTAGGGACTTTGAGATCTAGGGACTTTGGAGTTTGGGGACTTTGGGATCTAGGGACTTTGGAGTTTAGGGATTTGGGGATTTAGGGACTTTGGAGTTTGGGGACTTTGGGATTTAGGGACTTTGGGATTTAGGGACTTTGGAGTTTAGGGACTTTGGAGTTTATAGACTTTGGAGTTTGGGGACTTTGGCATCTAGGAATTTTGGGATTTAGGGATTTTGGAGTTTACGGACTTTGGAGTTTATAGACTTTGAAGTTTGGGGACTTTGGGATCTAGGAATTTTGGGATTTAGGGATTTTAGAGTTTAGGGACTTTGGACTTTGCGGACTTTGGGATCTAGGGACTTGTGAGTTTGAGGACTTTGGAATCTAGGGACTTGTGAGTTTGAGGACTTTGGAATATAGGGACTTTCGAGTTTATGGACTTAGGAATTTAGGAACTTTGGAGTTTATAGACTTTGGAGTTTAGGGGCTTTGAAGTTTAGGGACTTTGGAGTTTGGGGACTTTGGGATCCAGGAATTTTGGGATTTAGGGATTTTGAAGTTTAAATACTTTGTGATCTAGAGACTTTAGAGTTTAGGGATCTTCGGATATAGGGACATTAACCCTTTGCACTCCTCAATTTCTTTTACCTACCGACTCCTTAATTTACAAAAAATATATCAAGACAGGGGTTCTCAGTAAAATGTATTGCAACAGTGCGAAGCATGTGACAAATACATTTTTCATTTATTATAAATAGTAAATAAATAAAAATTTATATATTTAACCAATCTATTTATCTGAATTATTTATAAGATCCAAGAGAAATGTGATGTCGAGCCACACTCGACATAGGAGTGCAAAAGGTTAAAGTTTAGGGACTTGAGAATGTTTGAACTTGACGTAATACAGTATTCTTCACAAAAAGTTCAAGTATGTTATCATCAATATTTACAAGTTCAAGTTTGTATGTAACTTTCTCACCATCAAGATTTCCATATAAAATATTTAAGCCCACGTTCTCAAGATTTCTAAATTTCCAAATTTAGGAAGTACCAAAAAAAAAATTCTAAAGTTTATCCTTTTGGGAACACCTCCGCCACTCGTTGGTCAGCATTGTTCTTAAAACGCGGGTAATCAAAGGTGCTCGTCGGGCGAGCTTAATATCCAGTGCACTTTAAGTTCATGAAACGGTCGTGTTCTTTCGACGCTTTTGCCCCAATTTTACTATTGCTATAACGTTATAACCCTCTCTCGCGGTGCCGTAGCTGCATGCACCAGACACTTGACCCTCTTATCTTTTTCCCTTTTGCGATTCCGCATTGCCATTTCTTCTTTTTTTTTCCCTACCCCTCCGGCTCGCCACTTCGAACAGGTCGAACGGAAAATACTCGTCGCATCCGTCTTCGAGGGGAAGCTGTTCAACCACTCGGCAATAATTCACGGATTTTAACACTAATTGCGTGTGTTCCGCTTTCATTCTTCGCCGTTAGTCGATTTTCTGGCCGCCAGATTCGATTTCCGAAAATACGACCTATCGGGAAAATCGTATCGACGTTGTTTATTATCTAATTGGTCATTAGCACGTCCGATCATCCAGCGTTGAAAGCTGAATAAATTTAACGAGCAGTCGAAAATGGGAATAGATAACGTTTGGACAGAGATACGAATTGACATAGGAGTGCAAAAGGTTAAAGTTTAGGGACTTGAGAATGTTTGAACTTGACGTAATACAGTATTCTTCACAAAAAGTTCAAGTATGTTATCATCAATATTTACAAGTTCAAGTTTGTATGTAACTTTCTCACCATCAAGATTTCCATATAAAATATTTAAGCCCACGTTCTCAAGATTTCTAAATTTCCAAATTTAGGAAGTACCAAAAAAAAAATTCTAAAGTTTATCCTTTTGGGAACACCTCCGCCACTCGTTGGTCAGCATTGTTCTTAAAACGCGGGTAATCAAAGGTGCTCGTCGGGCGAGCTTAATATCCAGTGCACTTTAAGTTCATGAAACGGTCGTGTTCTTTCGACGCTTTTGCCCCAATTTTACTATTGCTATAACGTTATAACCCTCTCTCGCGGTGCCGTAGCTGCATGCACCAGACACTTGACCCTCTTATCTTTTTCCCTTTTGCGATTCCGCATTGCCATTTCTTCTTTTTTTTTCCCTACCCCTCCGGCTCGCCACTTCGAACAGGTCGAACGGAAAATACTCGTCGCATCCGTCTTCGAGGGGAAGCTGTTCAACCACTCGGCAATAATTCACGGATTTTAACACTAATTGCGTGTGTTCCGCTTTCATTCTTCGCCGTTAGTCGATTTTCTGGCCGCCAGATTCGATTTCCGAAAATACGACCTATCGGGAAAATCGTATCGACGTTGTTTATTATCTAATTGGTCATTAGCACGTCCGATCATCCAGCGTTGAAAGCTGAATAAATTTAACGAGCAGTCGAAAATGGGAATAGATAACGTTTGGACAGAGATACGAATTTTTGTATTCAC